ACAGTTGTCCCAGATTACAGGTGACAGGACACAAAATGATGACAGGAGGCAGGAAAGACAGCTGGGGATACCTCAGCATTGTGATTCATGCAGTCATGGGGGTGGGGGGTGGGGGACGCAGATGGAGCGCAAGGGGTGCGGATTGAGGAGAGAGCCGGCTGCTGCTCAAACAGAACTGAGGAGGATCCATGGGGCTCTCAGCAGATTGTCCAGACGTGCGCCACTCGCACGGATATAAATCCTGACGCCCAAACAAATGATGGCGCAGAGCAGAGACTCAGACGGAGATCGGGAATATGGGCAGAGCAGGAGAAATCAAGAGCCAACTACCAAGGAAAAGAGACAAATTATTGTACATAGGAAGGTTCAAATGAGGACTAGGGGGGCTCGAGCAGATCTGAAAGAGCCCTAGAGGAACTGATCCCGAGGAAAACCCACTGTTCTTTCAAACCCATGGAAGATCTGAGATTTTTTTGTTATGAAAAAGAGAAAAACTTAAATGTCCCTAATGTTATTTTCCAACTATTATAGCAGGGCACCCCAGGATTCACTTTCTGAAGAAACCCTGAGATGACAAACATGCTCTCACCAATGCCATAATACTGGCAAGACTTCTTTATTTCACAGAAAGGCCTCCAATCTGATTTTGGTATTTCCTTATAACTTGTTTTTGTTTGTTTGTTTGTTTGTTTGTTTTTAAACTCTGACATTGTATTTCTGCTGGTTTTTGTTATTTTGGCTTCTGAGTGAAACTGCAGCAGTGTGGGATAGCCCACGTGTGATAAGTGAGGACTGAAGAGCCCTGTGTGTGTGTGTTGTGTGTCTGCGTGTCCTTTCCTGTGTCTGGTCTTGGCCTCTAGAGGTTGTAAAATTGGTATAGATGGTGCCCATAGACACTGAAAAAAATATGAGTCACAACTAAAGGTTGTGGTTTCATTGTCAACACTGCTTTACTGATTGAGCCGGAACTCTCACAGAGATGAGATAGTTGTTGCTGCCATTTCTGGTATTTGTGACAAAGCTTCCTAGAAACCTAAACTGAGGTAAAGTTTGGTTGTCGTCTCTCATTTGGTTAATTGAAGGCGATTTGGTAGAACCTCCGTAGGCTCCTGAGACGCTCCACAAAGTTTCTTTATATGGATTGGTCCTACTTGGTTTACCTGGTAGAGTGATACTGGAAGGGAAGCGTTGCCACTTGGGCAAAGGTAAAACTTGGGCACGTACAGAAATGCTAACACTGGTTTTCTGAAATGCGCATAAAAGCTGTCTGTACCTGATATGTACGTAAATTGTCAATGTGGATTGTTGTCCTGCATTAGTCTATAATCCAGTAGCTTAATAGCTGCAGAAAATGTAGGAAAAATAAGGAAGAAAAGCCTCAGTAGATTCCATCTGATGGAGATTTTGACAGTGAAAATATCCTACAAAGACTGAAGAGACTTTTGGAGATAAAACTGATTTTTACTAAACTTCACTTGAAAAAAATACTGGTAACTTTTTGTCATTACATTTTGGTACAATAAAAGTTTTCTTGCTTAGACTGACCAGGGTCTCCAGTAATGTTGCATTTTCCCTTGCAGAGCTAACTCGTGTTTACATTTTCTCTCCCCCAACACCGACACAGAGTGACAGGCTGTGGCAGTAACTCTTCACTCCTCGTGGCCGAGTGTGCACACGGTGGTAACCCACAGTCCGGCAACCCGTTTCATAGCGGGGTGCCCTGTAACAGGGAGTGTTTGGGGGTTTGGGAATAAGCACAACAGGAACTAACCTAACAGGGGACAAGATAATTATAACCCCAGGGCCAATAAAAATCACCCCAAGAAGGAAATACATCCTGGTTACTCACGCTCAGCTCTGTCTGGCTCTCACAGGGTCATAACAATGCACCCCTGGGCCTTGGGGACCCCAACAACCTGCCAGAGGAGCCTCAGGCCGCTGATGCCTGTGCTGTGGATCCGACCAGCCACCTCCCGGGCCTATTAGGCAACCAGAGCCGGGTCTCAGGCCCTGGGCCCTGGGGGCGGGAAAGATTCTGGCTGAACACTCCAGTGCGAAGGAGTAGAGGCAAGGTGGCCTCCAGGGGCCTAGAAAGGCTGCAGAAGTGTCCAGCCTCTGTGGGAAGGGAAGTCGTGGGTGCTCACCCAAGAGCTGAAGCAAAAGGAGGAAGCAGGTCACCAGACCCTTCAGAACTCACCCCACATGCTCTGTCGTGCCCCAGCCCTGATAGGAGGCAATTTTTCTGAAAGAACAGACGATTCTGGTCAAGGAAGACATTAAAAACTCGAAGAGGACACATCTCAGTCGGTGCAGGTGCTGGACCAGGCCACGCCCAGAGCGCAGCTGCTACAGAACCTCCGAGAAGCTGACAGTGAGCACATTGGGAGCTGACACTGAGGAGACTGAGACTCCAGACAGAGCTGAGATGTCTGCTAGGCTCACAGGATGGGAATAGCTGAGAGGGGCCTCCACCCCCCAGGCTGCTCGGAGAAAGGGAGCTCGGGGTGCTGTGAAGCTCAGGCTGGAGGCCGTGACCTGCTCCAGAGTGTGGCTGCTTTCACTGCTCAGTCTTTGGTGCTTTTTCCTCTTTTTTATTAACCCTAACCCTCAATCTGTGGTGTCTCATGACCATTTCCAGCCCACAGAAGAGCTGAAGTAACAGTGCAGAGCACACGGCCAGGCCCAGCTGAGAACTCGCCACATCTGCTTCATCCCTGATCTGCACCCACGGATTCGTCTCTCTACTCATCCACCTGATTTTTCTGCTGCATTTCATGTTAGAGCACATATCAGTACATATGGTTTCTCAACACTGGAGCATTCCAGTTAACAGCTAGAGGTCAAATTGGGTTGATTTCTTTCTTTTTTGCGAAAAACTTTGTATGGAGAAATGCAGACATCTTAAATAAACCATTAGAGTTTTGACCCTTGTCAAGAATATTATGAAATAACATTCTTTTCTTCTGTGGGAAACAATGAAATTTAAATAATTTAATGATGTGTCACACTCACTTAATAATTTATCATCCTCATCCTCCCTCCCTTCAGTAACCATCACAGTCCAGTCTGCAGCTCCCCGCCCCTTCCCTTCTCAGCACGTCCTGTGACCACACTCTCCTTGGGGCAGAGTCCACGCCTGGTTCCTCTTCATGGTTACTTGTTGTTATTATATTGTTCTGATAATTTTTATTTTACAACCATATGTATATATTTTAGGAGTTATAGGTGCAGAACTGAAAATATATCTTCTCTTCCCATATAAGTATGATTATCAATACATGATATGTTACTCATCTTTGATCCTTCAACAAAGAAGTTTCTCTAACTCTCCCTTTTCCTTTCATGCACGAGACTGTTAGTCAGAAGCAGCAGCTGAGCTGTTTGCACACCTTTATAGCCATATGTGACTATGTATACCTATGGCAAATATTTTTATTATCAGTTTTATTACACAGACTTGTATATACATGCAATGTCTGAAGCCTAAGTTCATTAGAGCAAGAGACGGACATTTCTTCTAGAAAAATGACTATCTGAATTTAGGTGAAAGAAAAAGGAATAGGGCCTCCTTGGTGAACAGGGGTGAAAGTCTCAGCACAATGAAGCTATCACTAGCCACTGCCGCATGAATTCAACCTGCGGCCAGGAAGCCGACCCACATGGCCCAGCAGACCTCTCCTGTCTTACCCGCTGCTCCCCTCAGCAGTGTACTTTGTCAATCTGGTCCCCACTCTTTCTCTGTTGAATCCTCTCACCCTCTACACCTCTGGCCTACACCCTTGTTCTTGTATGCATAGATAAACAAAAATTATTTAATCTTTTAAAAAAAAAAGACGGGAATAATTATTTCACTTTCTAACCTACCTGTAATGCAGTCACCCAAATCACAACAATCCCCTTAGGAGACTACTTTGACATTTACAACAAGTTATTAACAGAAACACACAGGCCAGAAAGAAACCTCATATCTTTAAACTTCAAATCAACCATCAATCAACCTTTCTTAGATTTGTGAAGACATAAAATAAAAATAATTTCACATAACAGCATGCAAACTACATACCTCTGTAAAGTGGGGGGAGGGGACAGTCAAACCATTTCCCAGGTTTCAGCTGAAATGACCATCAGAAGTGTTCAGGTTGTGTCCACCATATTTTGAGGCAATTTGCCTCCTTTAGCCTAAGCAGAGGTCAGTGTTAAAGTCCATGAAGGATCCTTATTGACGTTGTGATGTAAAATGGTGGGGATGCTTTGTGACTAAAATGGGGACAGAACACTGAGTGGGGGAGGGGCCCTTCACATCATTTCCTCTGTGGTCTGTGGTATGGTCTCACTGCAGCTCGAGAAAACAAGAAGCTGGAGAAAACAAGTGAGTGTAATTTGTCTCCAGATTCCTTCTGCCAAGCCTGAGGAGAGAAGCTTCCCGGCTTTCCTGAGCTCCCCATCCAGGAACTACAGCTCTTCACATTGGACAGGGGGGTCTCTGTTCACATCCCTGACTCGTGGTCATGGTTTTGCTTCAATCATCCGTGACTCTTAAATCTGTCCCTGAGCCCCACCCACCTCCCCTGACACCCTACTTGGAACATAACCCTTGACAACATCCTGATCGTGGCCGGCCCCAGAGTCTGTCCTCACAGATTCTCTGTCCCACCTGGATGGGCCCCTTGACCCCTTGGTGTCTCTGGCCCTCCAGTCAGCCCCACAGACACCCCTGAGAGCAGGACAGGCCTCCTCCTCATGTCCTGCAGCGTCACAGCCTGGGAGACCGTACCTAGGCAGGCACCACCTGCACATTCAGACCCATGGGGAGGAGCAGGGCAGGATGAGGGCCTGTGGGACTCAGGTGAGGGCAACTCATCCACGGGGCCTCTCCCCTCCCACTTGGTGTGGGTCACCTTTCCCCCAGAATTCTGAGACCCCAAAGGTATGCATTTGGCTACAGGTCAGAGATAACATAAAGGAGGTGCTTTTCTTGTCCTTCTTGTCCAGGTGGACATTGAGCCCCCCACGCCCACTCACACCTGGACTGTGTCGTCACCTTCTTCTGAATTGCTGCCTGGCCAGCTCATAGTCTAGAGAACAGAGAGATCCCGGCCTAAGGAGGGAAGGTCAAGTGTCGATTTTTATGCCACAGCTGTGGCAGGAAGTGGAATGCCGGAGACTGAAGGGAGAGACTCACAGCAGCTGACGGGGAAGCTGCCTTTGTCCTCAGTGAGACCAAGTGAACACGAGGACTTTGGGGAACTAATGTGAATCTCTGTCTCTAAAGGGCCTCAGCAGCTGGGACATCTCAGCCACCAGTGTCCAAAGAGATCCGAGGGCCATGCCCACTGTGCCATCACACAGGGCACTGGAAGAGGGACTGTCCATTCTCTACAGCGGGAGGGCGCAGCCCCAGCCCAGGCCAGATGGGAGGATGATCTGCCTTTGACTATGGAGACACTGTTAAGGGGAAGGATGTCCTAAAGGAACTCTGCAGAGGCTTATGGACTCCACCCCCTACTCCAGTGATTGGAAACTACAACTCCCAGCAGTACCAGGGAGAGAACTGCGAGGACCCAAGGGCGGAGCTAGCAGGAATTCTGGGACATTTGAGTGATAAATAAGGCTCAGTAGTATCTCGTGTTCTCTCGCTCAGGAAGCAGCTCTCCTGACTGGAAGCAGCTTTCCTGACCAGTGACTTGGTGTGTTCAGTCAGCCTAGGTATTGCATTTACTTTGTATCTCACACTCTTTCCCTGGGTTATTTCCTATTCCTTTCCCCTTTTGTAAATAAACCCCTTATTGACCCTTTTGTGTGTACCTGCAGTATAACTGAGTTGTGAGCGCCGGGGTGAGGCCCCACAGACAGGCGGCCCATTCCACTCTGGGCTACCCTGTAACAGTTTTTGCCGCCCAATGTGGGGCCTGACTATCTCACCTGTGGTTGATCAGTCCAAGTACCTTGCATTGGTCACCACAAGCGCATTAGGTCTGCAGTACACACGGCTTCTTTGTTTCTGGTCATGAAAACTTTTTTTCCTTTGTATTCAGCTCTCGCTGCTGTTTACCACTATGACTTTGACCAATTTTTTTCCCAGCTTAGGTTCTTTCAATTTTGTTCTGGCTTTCAAGCCACTCCTGTTTTGCAGCCTGTGCTTCTGGGTGTCTTCTTGATACTTTGTATCAACATCACTTTTTACATTTTCGGCTCTGTGAGAGGAAGTGGAGGGAACTCTGCTTCCTCCACTACAAAATTGCAACAAATTCAGGCTCTTACTGAAAACATGCAGCAGCAAATACAAGTCCTTAATTCAGCTGTAAGTAGCATTAAAAATGATAATTGGGTTGCCCTTGACTCTATACAAGCCCAGATACAAGGTGCCTTCCATCAATTAGGTATGACCCAGGTTCGTATTATGGCACAGAGAAGGGGTAATAAGCCTTTCCCTGAGGACTGCAGGAGAGCAGAGTTAGAAGAGGAGGATTTCTACTTGCTGAAAACCTTAAGCCCTTCAGAAATAAAAATCTTCCCTGCATAGCAAAGCCCCTCCTGTGGAAACTCCTAAGGCTCCTGTGGAAACTCCTGAGGCCTCACAGCCTCCATTGCCATTTGGTAAGGAACTAACATGCTTTCTCCTTCCCATACTAGACAGGGCACCCTTTTTGGAAGTAAGAATCGCCTCAAAGCAGGGCAGTTCCCTCTTCGACATATGGCAGTGGGTGGTTTAAATGCACAAGGACAGCCTGATGGATACTTTTGGTCACACAATCCTTTCAGCACAGCAGACCTCCTAAATGGAGCAGCTCTGTTCCTTCTTATAGGCAGGACCCTAAAAGGATAGCGAACTTGTTTGCCTCTATCTTTCTCTCTCACCTTCCTAATTGGGCAGATATCCAATCAACGTTACAAACTTTATTGACTTCGGATGAACAAAGGATGGTTTTTAAGAAAGCCAGGGAGGAAGCTGATCGCCTTCACCAACAGGATGTAGAATCCCCAGAACCAGATCTGGCAATCCCGATGGTAGATCCCAACTGGGACCCCAATGAAGGTGATATGGATATGTTGGAACTCTATAAAAATGTTTATTGGTAGGGCTGCAGCAGGGGATTCCCAAGCAAAAGAATTTTAATAAAATTCTGCAGCTTGAGCAGAGGGCTAATGAGGATCCATCAGAGTTCCTTGAGCGGATTATCCAAACAGATGCCAGACACACAGAGATAAATCCTGATACCCCAGAAAATGCTCGTCTGATCACTATGACGTTTATTACCCATAGTGCCTCAGACATCAGGAGGAAATTAGCAAAGGTGGATGGTGTTATGGAGATGAGTCCATCCCAGTTTAGTAGACCTGGCATTCCGAGTGTATAACAACCGAGAGGAAAAGAGACTTAGGT